TCTTTATATAATGTCTTCCTTTTTTCTCAGGGACATCAGCTCAGGGACCACCTCCATGGAGAGGATAGAGAGAAGGTTAGATATTACATTATTTTGACGCTGTACTTTCTAATTAGATAGTTTTTTTCGTTTTTTTTACAGATAGATTTTTTAATGCTAAGATTTTTTTAAAAAATTTAATGAGATTAGTTATCAATACCTTTCTTTTGTTTTATCAGAGGAATCAGCGTTGGAGCACTAGCATGTCAATGGGAGAGAATATCACATATTGCAGGACTTTTTTTCTGCTTAAATCAAATGCTTTCCTTTCTATTTACTTTAAAAATAAATTGTACTTATCTTGCAAAACGTCAACAAATATTAAACAATGTCCTTTCAACCAATCCACAGGGACATCAGTGGGACCATCAGTTCCTTGGCAAGCAGGGAGAGACGGTAAGGGATATTGTTCCATAGAATTACCTATACTCCTATGCCTTTGACTGAATTCAATCCAATTAACAACTGAGTGTTAACGTTTCACCTTCCCTTCGTGACGCCTTCGCTTCGACTTGATCTGAGGCGCCTTGTGAGTGACGCCAAGCGTTGAGGAATGCTAAAAATTTTTTTTTGATCGTTCCAAAGAGAATTTTGTTACGTCTCGGTTTTGATATATATTATAGCAGTTCACAGATATATATATAATTATAGCAAATATATATATAAATTATATATATATTTATATATAAATTAGCATATATTATATGTATATATTATATACTATAATATATATTATATGAACCACATAATATTATATATGGCAATATACATAGAAATATAAATGTTAGCACATAGTACACGGCAAAATATAATGACATATACACAACACACATACACACACACATACACCACACACATATTACATATATATATCACATGTAGTATATGTATATATATATATAAATATATATATATATATATATTATCTGTACATGTACAGATATACTATATATAACATTACCTATATAACGAATAAGTGATTTTATTTGGTTATTTATAATCAATTCACTCTCTCACACATGGTACAGACAAGTCTACAGCTCGAGAGTGAGAGCTCTGAGGAATCCTCTGAGGAAAGGAACTGCCGCTCCTTGAAGGATGTGACAGCGCTGACTTTGGCAAATGACCTGACCTCCATTTGACCCTGCTGATTTAAATCAAGACATTTCAAATAATATTCAATTTTTCATAAACCGTTTTCAGTAGTATACATCATTGGAAAGATAAACATTTCGGCTTTCACAAAAACAAAAATCTGCATTTTGTTTAAGCAAAAGGAATAAAGTGATTGTTAAGAAATATTCACATATTTTCCCTTCCTCTGCCTACCGAGTAATGACAGAAAACATTCGGAGATTAGATAATATTATATATATATATATATATATTATATATATATATATATATATATATATAACATAGAAATAGTACATGATATATATATATATATATATATATATATATATATATATATATATATATATATATATATATAATATATATATATATATATATATATATATATATATATATATATATAATATATATATATACATATATATATATATATATATATATATATATATATATATATATATATATATATATAGAGAGAGAGAGAGAGAGAGAGAGAGAGAGAGAGAGAGAGAGAGAGAGATACATAACACATACGCACTCACAGAAACAGACACACATATGTGTGTGTGTGTGAATATGCTTATGTATATAAATCTATGGATTTACATACATACACTATTTTATGCATATACACACAAATAAAAAAAAATATATAAATATGAATATATATACATATGTATATAAACGTGTACTTCTAGATGCATGTGTATATATATATATATATATATATATATATATAATATATATATATATATATATATAATATATATTATATATATATATATATATTTATATACACATACATATATATATATACATATACAACACCTATCTATGTGTCTATCTACACACATATATTTTACGGCACTCTGATAAAGAAGATATATTAAAATAGGATAGCAATGATGATAATGATAAAAATATTACAGGTTAACAGTGGATTCTCAAACATCTCGTGACGCACGACCTCGTTTCTTTGAATAAGGTAAGGTCAACGACTTCGTTTAAGTACGGAATCCAGTCCATTGAAATGTTTTTTTTTTTTTTTTTTTTTTTTTTTTTTTTGTAAGAGGAACCACATTTTTCTATAATTTTCTTTGTCGTTTATGTTTCCTGTGGCTGGACGCTTTTAGGGATCTTACAGTGACCCTATAGTCTTATCATACATTGCTTTATCAATTTCTATCACTTTTAGAGGTTAGATAGTCTTAATTTTAATAATAAAACAATTGAAATTCGTGATGATCATATTAAAGATAAGTGATAATCAAATGAAGATGAACGCACATAAGCGACATAATAGAGAATGAACATATGTGGTCAA